AAAAAAAGTTAAAAAAAATCAGAAATTCATCAAATTTATTTGATTTTTATGAAGTTAATCCACAAAAAAAAATCTACAAGTTTCCCAAATAACCAAAGGAATTGAAAAAATATTTTCTAGCTAGGTACCATGATAGGACTATATATAACATTATAAATATTTTGTAAGATCTTTATTTGATATGCGATGATCTTTTTGTTTTGAGATGGTAAAGATCGTGAATACATACAAAATGGTTTTATTTGATAAAAGATGGAAGATGATATTTATGTAGATGAGATGTTGGAGGTTTTAATCATCCTAGATGGTAATTCCATTTTTGTCAAAGGTATTGATCTCTTAACTATCCTCCAGAGGCTATAGGAAGCCCAAGAGACTAAAACAAAAAGGATCATAGTTTTATACGAAAATACCGATAGACTTAAAATAAAGGGTAATTCTTGTATGTGGTATTATACAACGAGATGTGATGGTGATGTGGTTTTAATAATGAGACGATAGTATTGTATAGTGTTAAAGAATTGTAGTATGATTCTTCTTTATGCATTGAATAAAATGTGAGTGTTATAGAATAGACAACATTTACTTGTTAGCTCAACCAATTTATCTTGACTTATTGTTAACTAAAAAGTAACTTCAGAAAATCTTTAATCAAAGATTTAAGACCTTCTGAATTTAAGGTGTTCAACCTAAAATTGAAGACTTGATTAGTTTAAACTTTAAAGTGCTCTCAAACTATGATTTCCAATCAAAGCTAACCATCTAAAGGAACATATAGTCATATAACCGATCCATAAAAGTTATTGCATATTGTAAACTTTGTTTATCTCCCAACAAGGCAACCATACAACTTTGTTTATGTGTTTGTATTCAACCATCATCCTCCATTCTATGATATGATGCAAAAAGGACTTACACATGGTTTTAACCGATTTGAGAAATATTAATATAAAAGGTGACTTTTAGATTGATAAATACATTTATTTTTCAAAAAATTTGGTTAGGCTCCTCACTTAACTTAGAAACTACATCAAATATGACATTATAGGTGAGCAAAAGGACAAGACGGGTATATAACCGAGTAATCTAGGTACAGTCTAGACATATTGTCTTGGGTCGGTACCATATTTCAAGCTTATAATGGTCTTGCCCTGATCTTAGGTTGGTCTTCCTTCGGTCTTGAACCGTTGGTCTCGTTTCAGTCTTGAACTGTTCACACAAGTCAATTTTTTTAAATTCTTTTATAATAATTGGTCTTATAAATACCTTATCGTTTCCAAACATTTTCTCTCTTTCACATCCTTTCATTCCAAGATACTAGATTTTTACATGTTTGTATATTAATTTCGTTTCAATGATATGTTTATGTGTTACAACTTATGGAATGTTTTGAAACAATTTGTATGCTTTTATATTAAGAAAATATATTTTTTATATTAATAAAATCTTTTAAGTTCTCATAATAATGTTATGAAACAAGATCATGAAAATAACGAACTAAGACAAAACGGAAAACTTAGCAATTTTTAACTTAAATATTTTTGTGTGGTCCGAGTCTTTTAAATGTCGGAAAGAATGGTTCACACCAAAACAGAGCCCGAAAACCCCGCACAAATATGGTTTGAGACCAAACATGTCTCGTTCAAAATAGGTTCATCAATTACTGAAAAATGACTGGACCACCTGAGAGCAGTCCGAAACCAAACCAATACCGATTTTGTTTACATCCAAATTGTCGATTTTGATCCCGAGTAAAGTTGACAGTGGATCAATTCGATTTGGGTTCGAGTTCAACCCATTTATTAATTAGGTCGAGGATTCCAACCATACCCAACCTATTTAATTAAATGTGTTGATATTCCAACACAACACAACCTTTTAGATAAATGGGTTGTCACCGGGTTAACATGTTTATGTAGGTTCCGACCCATCCTACTAGATAAATAGGTTAAACTTGGGTTAACCCATTTAAAATCAAAAAGTAAATAAATTAATTAAAGATTACACCACTTAAATTAGTTTTTAAGGTAAATAAAATTTCAAAATATGACAAAAACACAATCCTAATTTACAAATACATATAAATTGTTGATAACATTAAAAATGTTTAATTTCAAAGTGATGTTAGAGAATGACTAGTATTGTCGATGTTAAGATAAATGATAAGATTAAGATTTCATTTTTTTATAAAACATAAATAATAATACAACATTATAATTAATATATTAATACTTGATAATATTCAAATAATTATTAAATTAAATATACCTAAAATTAGATGAGTTGGCAGGTTAATAGTTTTTTACCCAATTCAATCTATTTAATTAAATGGGTTAGATAGTTTGACCCATTTAGCTTAAATTGTTTGAAAATCTCAAATCTCAACCCAACCCATTAATTGTGGGTTGAGTTCGGGTTAAATTGACGGGCTATGTCGATTTTTACCGACTCTAATCCTGAGTCCCCACCGATCCAATGATGGTTTAGGCTAACCGGTATGGGGAAGGAAAATGACGTGTGAAGGCTGAGGTGGCACAGCCAAGACGTATGAACACTGCCCCAAAGGTCGATGCTCTAGTTGTGGCATGTATGGGGAGACGGAAGGAGATAGACGCATTCATTGGTTGAAATTGATTTTGACGTTTTTTGGGGGGGGGGGGGGGGGGGGGGGGGGGGGGGGGGGCATGGGGAGGCAGTTGACCGTTGAAAATTTATTAAAAAAAATCATTCAAATTAACTTTCTATATATATATATATATATATATATATATATATATATATATATATATACACACACACACACTTTTTTCACAACAAAACACACACATTTTTTCAAAACATTCACACACTTTAAAAAAAATGGATAATTTTTTCAGTTCAGTTTCTTCTTTATTTGATAACGAATTGATATTGACACACTATTGTCTGCGGCACAAGACAAGGTTCGTGAAAGAGGGGAAAGTTCATACGGCGAGAAGAAGCGTAGAAAATGGATCAACCGGGATCGAGAGGCAGCAAATGAATTTTTGGTACGTGATTATTTTGCCCCTGATAGTTTATATGATCTATCGAAAATTGAAGAACGTTTTCGTATTAGTAGAAATTTATTGTTACGTATAGCTAGAGATTTGGAAAGTAATTATGAGCTTTTCCAATTAAGATGGGATGCTAGAGGTAAACGTGGTTTTACTACAATACAAAAATGTACGGCTGTTCTTAGACAATTGGGATATGGCATAGCCGCACACGCATCAGATGAGTATTTGAAAATGTCTAAGAGGACAGGTCGAGAATGTACATATATTTTCTGTGAGTATGTTATAGAGTTTTACCGTGACATATACTTGCGACATCCGACTAAAAGTGATGTCAAACAGTTGTATGTCGCGCATCAAGCTAAACATGGTTTTCACGGATGCTTGGTAGTATTGATTGTACACATTGAGACTGGGCAAATTGTCCTAATGCGTAGCGTGGTCAATTCACGCGAGGTGATCATGGGATCCGACTATTATATTAGAGGCGGTTGTTTCACATGACCTATGGTTTTGGCATGCATTCTTTGGTATGGTGGGGTCCAACAATGACCTGAATGTGCTTCAAGCGTCTCCGTTATTTAACAATATTTTGCAAGGTAAAGCACCAGACATGTCATACATTGTGAATGAAAATGAATATAAGTATAGGTATTACCTAGGTGATGGGATATATCCAAAGTATGCTACAACTATCAAGTCATATTCATTTCCAGCCGATGAAAAACGAAAATTATTCAAGTTAGCACAAGAATCATCAAGGAAGGATGTGGAACGAGCGTTTGGAGTCCTAAAACAAAAGTGATACATAATCAAACATCCGACACGAACGTGTGATAAGGCAAAAATAGCGATGATGTTGATTGCTTGTGTTATTTTACATAACATGACAATAGAAGAAGAGGGTAGAGCTATTTGTTCATATACCGGGAACGACATATTTAATCCACATGCAGTAATACAAGTTGGCAGTCCCACATACTTTTCCAGGGTTTTAGAAATACAAAACTGTGAAACATATCACAATCCATGCCACGATTTGACCGGGCACATATAGGAAAGACAATTCCAAGGGGAAAATGACGATGAAGACGAAGAGGAGGAGGGCGGTGACGACGAAGCGGATGAGGGCGGTGACGACGAGGCGGATGAGGACGGTGACGACGACGAGTAGTATTTCTCTATGGTTTTTTATGTTTTTTAAGTAGTGTAATGTTTTATATTTATTTTAGTAATTTAGGTTTTAAATTTTTATGTTTTTAATTAATGAAATGTGGTTTTATTTTTTTGTGTTTTCAAAAAAACTATTTATGTTATAAATTATGTTTTTTATTTAATATAATGTTACAAATATATATATATATATATATATATATATATATATATATATATATCTATATATATATATTGTGTAATGGTAACCATTTCCAATGTCTAGTGTATTGGTGGTGAAGCTGACGTGACGCAGAGGTGACAACATTTTTCGGTGGATTGGTGGTGACTAGGGGTGAACAAACCGATTTTTTTTTCAAACCGAACCGGTTCGGTTCCGATTCTTGAATAGTAAAACCGGTTCAGCGATAAACCGGTTCGGTTCAAACCGGTTCCGTCATAGAAAAACTCGAACCTATCTAAACCGGTTCAATCGGTTCTAAACCGGTTCGATCGGTTTGACTACCGGTTCTAAACCGGTTTCAATGTCTAAAATAGTAAAATCTCGAACGGGTGCAAACCGGCGGTTCGGTTTTTGAATCGGTTCGGTTCATAGTGGACCGGTTCGTAGTGAACCGGTTTACCGGTTCAGTGACCGGTTCGGATCCTGAACCGGTTTTTTTGTGCAAGCCTAGTGGGGACCACTCCCCGTAGCCTTAGTTTGATAAGTATTGGGCCACTCAACCAATCCTAACTTATTGAATAAAATTTAAACTATAGAGTCTCTCAGACTCATTACAAAATGCTATTATCGTAATAAAAGCCCAACCCATATTAAAACCCCAGTGGCCACTGCCGTTGGTTGTTATAACAGAAACCCTAGACCATCAATTTGGACTCTTTGAACTCTGAATCACACACAATTCAGCGGCATTTGCACCGGCGAACGAGCTACTGCCATGGTCAGTTTTCACCGATAATTTCACCATGAAAATCACTGCGTTGATACATGAAGTTAACATTCTTATTCATGATCGCAGGTTAAGTACTCAAAGGAACCGGACAACCCTACCAAATGTAAGTTTTTTGATTCTCTGTTTGTTTTTTTAGTACCGATTAGCTGTTTGATTGTTAGGGTTTAGATTAATGTTTGTGTTTGTTGTTGATCTTCTTCAGCTTGCAAAGCAAGGGGATCAGATCTCAGGTGCCATTTTAAGGTGCGCTGATTTTTAATATATATTACGAAACAATTTGTATATATACCTGTTCGAGATACTGTGTTTCCTTTTTCTTTTGCTGATATAGTTCAGCTTTTCCCTTACAGAACACTAGAGAAACTGCACATGCTATTCGTAAGTTGCCATTGATCAAAGCTAAAAGATACTTGGAGGATGTTCTTGTCCACAAACAAGCAATCCCATTCACACGTTTCTGTCGTGGAGTTGGGCGTACTGCACAGGCAAAAAATCGCCATTCAAATGGACAAGGACGTTGGCCTGCTAAATCTGCAAAATTCATTCTGGATTTGCTCAAGAACGCCGAGAGTAACGCAGAAGTAATCATCTATTCTTCCCTCTTATATTTATAAGTTATAATTCTATTCTACTAAAAAATTCTTCTTCTTCTTTGTGTTTAATAGGTGAAAGGGTTGGATGTGGATTCCCTTCACATCTCCCACATTCAGGTGAATCAAGCACAGAAACAGAGGCGTAGGACATATCGTGCTCATGGAAGAATCAACCGTGAGTCTCCTTCTACTACTGCTACTATTTTCTGTTGGCATTTAAAAGTAAAGTTGTGATTTACTCATTGGACGTGTTGAAAATAATGTTGCAGCCTACATGTCTTCTCCATGTCATATTGAGCTGACTTTGTCAGAGAAGGAAGAAGCTGTTAAGAAGGAGGTTATTTTCTGATTCCACCATTATCTTTACATTATCTAATTGATATAATCCTATCGAAGCTTCCTGTTATCAATTCTTAAATCCTTTGTATCTTGCAGCCTGAGACTCAATTGGCTGCAAAGAAGACCAAGTAAAGTGCAGCATCAGTTTTGGAAGTCTAGTTTGGTATGCTAGATAGAAAGAGTTTCGTTTTTACCTTGAAGAGATGTACTTTGATATTGGAAGATTTTTTATCTAATGTTCAGTTATGAAATTATAAAGCTAAATGTGATTTACTTACTTTTTTACTTTTGAATTTTTTGTTTTTGGTGGAATAGTTATGATAAGGGAGTCATACTTTCGATTCAATGATAAGGATGTGAGAATTACATGTGATGTCTCAGTTTTTCCATCATATTTTTTTGCTTTTGGGGCCTTGATTTAATCAGCTTAAGTCAACAAATCCACACTTCATTATACAAATCTTAGAGTGTTTGTGCTAATTTATAACAGTTTATGTTTTTTTTTTCATAATAGTGTTTTATTAATTTATGTGGTAATAATGCAGTTTAAAAAAAAGTGTTTGAATTAAGTTTATGTGTTATCACAACGCAGTTTTTTTTTCAAGCACCTTAATATTGGTGCCAAAGAGACTGTTAAAATGTGTTATGATAGACGCGAAACCATATGGGAGCTGATTTTTCCAAGGTTTATTTTGATTCTTCCACTGAATAATTAATTCCACTGAATAATTAATGGATAGACTATTTTACCCCTAAACACATTTAGTTTGATAAGTATATGAATAATTAATATATTGAAGTGAATTTCACAATAAATTAAGGTCATAAAACTGTACAAGTCCTCCATGACACCCACCATGTTTTAGAGCCAACGATGATTTGGATTTCCCTGTTTATCATCTTCCTTGAGGAGGTAAGAAACCTATCTTGCCGTGTGATATGTCAAAAACATTTTCGACACCATCCATGGGGGTATCCAAATTGGTTTGCAATGGTGACATAGATAACTACATCAAGTGCTTGAAGTGGCAGACCAAAAAATTTTAACCATGCAATTCTTACAAAAAGTAACTCACATTGGTCACCTGGCTTGACCCATTTGATCCATTTTTTCCAAATGTTCTGGGTATGTAGGAATCCTTTTGCATCAGGGGAGTGATAGTACGTATAAACCACCAGGGTAAGATAACTCCACATCTTAATATCCTTCTGACAATGGGGAAGATGAGGGTGCCCAGAGGGTCAATGATGAGGGCTTCACCAATGATAGTTGATGTCTGCAGTACTCATGAGACCCTAGCAGGTATGGTCTTGAGACGAATTAATTGGCTCAAAGTTGTAGATGACGGGTTGTTGGTAAAGCCTTTGACGGTGTCGGCATAAGACTTGTGATCCATGTGACCTGCGACATAGCCGATCGGGAAACCGATGCGAGGAGGTAGGCATAGGAGGAGTTGGGTTCTTACGCATCAAAGGTTGACGTTGGAATATGGAAATATTGACTTTCGACGTTGCGTTTGAAGCAGATGAAAATATATAAATGGTTTGAAATTGAATTGGGAAGGAAATGTCCTAGCAAAAATCAAGTGATATTTACTTTCTATTTTCTGTGAATCTTGCAACAAATTTGAACTGACGTAAATATAATTAGGGAATGTTACAGTTTTTAAAAGGATTTCAATTTATATTTTGTTGTGATTTTGGTTTTGGATTTGCAAATGATGTTAGGAGACAATTAAAGATCAACACAAACATAACCATATATATAGCAAAAGGTCAACACTGATAGAACCACTAACAACAGGGATCCCTCATGATCAACACAACTGCAAACTAACATAAATAACAACTCCACAAAACCATCCTCCTGCGTCTTTCTTCTGTCCCAATCAAGCAGAAATTCTGCAATTACAATACATCCAATTCCATCATCAATAAGCAAAATAATAATAATAACAATAATTAATTTTTTTTTAGGATGAATGAACTTACAGATCTTATTGAAGGCCACAATATCACAGCTCTGAACATATTCATTGATTGGCTCTGCAGTAAGCCTTTCTTCAATGATTGTATCAACAGACACCAGGTCATCCACAATTGTCATCATAATCTGGAGCTTCTTAATACCATATCCAACTGGCACCAACTTTGCTGCATTTTCACACATTTTTTTTAAACTTATCATTTATCCAATCACAGAAATTAAAAAACATGGTATAAGTTGATTTTAAGAGAAAAGAAAAAGATTCAACATACATGCACCCCATAGCAAGCCCTCCATTTGAACACTTCTAACAGCTTCCTCAAGCTTTTGCATGTCAGTTTCATCATCCCAAGGCTTCACATCCAACAACACCGAAGACTTCCCAGCTGATTAAGCAATCAACAACACTGTCAATTTGCATTTGAAACATAATATTGAAAAGACAAATATAGCCTTACATTCTTTCTTTTTCCCAGATGCTTTCACTGCAGCTGCACGTTCTTCAGCAGCCTTCTTTTCCTCTTCAGTCTCCTCACCAAAAAGATCCACGTCACTATCCTCATCTTCATCAGCTGAAGCCTGAAATTCATATATTTCGTGTCACATATTTTGCAAAAAAGAATTGACATTTTACATAAACAAGTTGATAAAACATGCCTTTGTATCAGCAACAGGAGGAGTTGCAATGGCTTCTTCTGGGAAAGAAGCGGATCCCTCAACAACAACACCACTGCCTTCAGCAGACACACCACTGAAAAAGGAAATTAATCATAAAATACAAGTAGTGGATAAGGAATAATGGTAATAAAAAGATAAAGGTTTTAAGAACATACGAAATCCTCAAAAGGGCATCAATATGAGTGAACCAACGAGATACATTCACATACTGGGGTGATGGGGGTTTTGTGAAAGCTGCATGAACAGTGAGATCATCCTTTGAAGCTTGATACCTGAGGAAAATTAACATTATTTTAAATCTGCATGATGTAAAGAAAAATTGAATCAATCCATTTGAAAGAAAAAGTGTTAAGAAACTTACCCTGTGATGTAACTGCGAGACAATAGGTATTCATCAAGCTTCTTGAGCCCAGCCTCCGAACCAACATAAAATGTGGGCGCCATTGCTATATAGTTGCCTGATCTCTTCTGCGAGTATGCATAAAATGAAATATATGAATTACAAATCCGAACATATCTTTCAATAATCTGATTTATTCCATCTGATCGGAAAATTCACTATGTGTGCATCGATGTTCATCCGTTTAGAGCCTAATACTCTAATCTAGCAAAATCTCTTTCGAATTAAACTACAACGACTACAATTCAAGCACACGCATCAGTATACTAAAACAGCAACTGACGAACAACTATTCGAGTGTGAATTTCCTAGAAACATTGTCCTCATAAACTTCAAAGGGTAAGTCACAAGATGCGTATAAGATAACCACATACAGTAATTCAAATTGCACAACGGTTGCTCTAGATTCAAAATCGAACAACAACTACTAACGAGCTCTAAATCATCGATTAAGGATTACATACCTAGAGGGGAGATCAGGTTGCTGGTCTCTGTTGTGAGCTGAGTTGAGTAAAGTAATCGGCTATGATGAGCTGAAACCCTAGCCTTGCTTTAAGTTACAACCGGATCACGAGGGAGGGTAAATTTGTCATTTTATTACTATTTCAATCATTTATTTTAGACAAAGTTACATAAATGGTCCCTATCACTTCCAGTCCAACTTCAGAAAAAATAGACAAAATTTATCCTTGTGTTTTGTCGATATTGTGGAGAAGGTCATTCTACCGTTAAATCTAACCACAAAGTCGTTACTTTTTCAAATTGACAAATTTATCCTTAACCAAACAGGGAAAATACTATATATTCATGGACCATTAATGTAACTTAATCCCCATTAAACATAACACTTACCCTCACCATTCGTCGGCTTCTCCACTCCATTTTCATCTTTCTATTTCTTCCCCGATATCAAATTAATACTCATCAATACCTAAAGTTGTACATTTAATTAATACCCACCAGTACCAATTACTAAGTACAATATCCCTTTTTTTCTATCAGTCAACAACTATTCAATTGTGAGGATGCACTTTCTTAGAAGTTATTAACCCCCATCAAACAATAAATGGTTTGTAAATAAGCCTTATCCCTTCACCATTAGCGTTTCTTGATTTTAATATATAACATGCAATTTTATATCTATCTCTTCCTTTGATTTTACCTTGAATCGATACTCCAAAAGCCCTATCTAACGTCCCAAAAACCATAGTAAATTTTTTCGTTTTTATAGAAATAAAAGTAGTTCCAAATAACCATTAGTCATCTAAAACATTGTCTCACAACATACCATAAAAATCAGAGTATCAAAACATAAATCTTTCTTAAATCATAAACCTGTTAGATGATGTGTACAGTCATGCTTTCGTCTTGCCTTGACCTTCAGAAGTACCTGAAACATTTAAATCCGCAATTACAAGTCAAAGCTTAGTGGGTTTCCTAAAATACCTCACACAACAATACACATACAATGCATACACGCAGGGCCTACGACATGAGGCTGGACTGCCATTCGGAGCTTACAACATCCAAGCCGAGCCGCTCCCATTGGGCCTACAGTATGGACTGGACCAGCGGATCTCTTGGCCTACAACACAGAGTCAGGGCGCCTCAACCCAACCACAATATGTCGACATATGCAAATCAAAATAACAAGCAAACACACGTAATCATGACAGATCTACCACTCTAACAGATTACTACAACATATCAACATCCTAACATACAAAGGATACATACTATAGTATAAAGTATAGTGAGAAAACTCACAACACATATGAAAGCAGAAATACCTATAACTTGCCGCACGCAGTAACCGGTACCACACCACCTAGACAAATAAGGATAAATCCTCAATTTAAGACTTGAACCCTAAATTTTGACCTCAAGTCAAACTTGGTCAAAAGTCGACGGCCAAAAGTCAACAATCGAGACACCACGCTTTGGCCAACACCATGGCCACATCGTGGAATCAACCTTGACACGTCGTGGTTATGTCCTGTCCACGTTAATCCATTAAGCTCTTAATCCTTGTTTTTAGAGCTCCAAAGCTCATATCTGGATCGATTAAGGCCATGCATGGATAAGGTTTCCAAATTTATCCCTTCTCTATCATATAGAAGCCTAGATCTACACACCCTAACTCAAAAAGGGACCAAATGACCTAAAAAGCTCATGCATGGTTGATTTATGATCAAGATACAAACTTTATGGGGCCATAAGGTCCAAAAACTAACATAAATCTTATCCAATGTCCTGAAGTTGCTTCAAACTCCAGTGTTTCATTTTCAAAAGCCAAAAAGGACTTAATCACATCATAAGCAACCTATGGAATGGAAATGTATGAACTTTATTGTCACACCCCGAAACCGAAGATGGCAGAAACGTTCCGGGGTGGAGGACGTCATGTATAGCATCACAACCAATGTATAATAGCAATCATAGCAACGTAACCATTACATTGAATACTTAAATAAAAATGTTTACATCAATTTGAAAATCGTTTGAAACTTGTTTGAATTACATCATATAGTTTGTATGAATATAAACATTAAACTCTTATTGCTCCAACTCCTCAAAAACCCAGCAGGTACCTGTCTACTGATTTCCTGAGAATACAAGCAGTTTGAAAATATCAGCATAAAGCTGGTGAGTTCATAAGCAGTAATTTGTAATGAAAACTTGTTGATGAGCTAGCAGAAATGTTTGTATAATTTCAAAAAAATCCGATATTTTCTTTAGTGAAAATGTAGTGTTATCAGTTCTGTAATAAGCCATGAATATCTGTATGTTTCCAAGAAAATCCGATATTTTCTTTAGTGAAAATGTCGCGTTAGCGATTTCGTATAAAACCATGAATGTTCGTTACTAAAAACTGTAGTGATATGCGAAAATACTACCTCGTGTGACTAGCTAAAGCTAATCATGAAGTATAAGTATTTTGTACGTGAAGACATTGCATAATTGGTTCTGTCTGACAACCCTGGCTTTGGCCAGTATACGTAGTGTGTTTTAGTTCTATTTAGTATAGATAAAACCGTTGAAGAGTGTCAGATTGTAAACTAAAGGTGATTTATACATAATGTGAGTCGTATAACCATACTTGATATGACTAGAGACCTTTTCAACGTTCTTCAGGCGTCGAGTTAAATGACATTTGTCACCCTGGGCATGCCTGCCCAACTGTAGCTAGTAGTTCGGGTGTGGGATTGTCAGCCCCGAATATATCTATTCACAAATCTCACGCTCTCCCTCCAGGAGACTCTGGTTATACTATGATAGGATTTATCCCTGTACACCTAAGGGTACAGTAGTGAAGTAGTGCCTCACAGTATCGTACAATCTAGTTTACATGTAGTGTAGTAGCGTTCTACCGTAGTGAAAATCTGAATGTATACCGTTTGTAGTGATAATTACAGTTATGAAAACACGATAAAGTAGTGATGCAAACTGTAAACTATTTCTGTCTTAGTGCATACGTTTAGTAGTGAAAGTTTCTATACTTGTTATGATTAGAAAATCCCAAACTATACCGATTATAGTTTGCATGTAAAACGTAGTGAATAGCGAGTCCGGAAAACCATGCAAGTTTAGTGAAAACGTCCCTTATGCTCAACACAGTACAAAAGGGTTAAAGTATGAGAATTTCATGAGTTTTGAAAACCTTTATGTTTAGCTTGTATCCCCCCTGAAAACGTTATAAAAACTTATAAAAGCGTAAGGGTATGAACTCACCTCGGGTAAGTGGCTTGATTGAAGGATAGATACGAAGAGTCGGGTGTTCAAGTGAAGCCTTGAACACGATTCGATCCTAATAGCATGTAATGACACATAAACGAGTCAAATGAAGGTATTTCACCACTATAAGTGATGGAAAACCACTATAGGGACTTGAAACTATTTGCACCAAGTGATAGGACCTTGTAGGATTGAGTGTAGGGGGTGTATGGCCACCTAGAGTGTGTGTGCGGCCATGAGTGTGCGACCCAATGGGTGTGCGGCCGTACACTCATGAAATGAGATGTCTTCGAAGTGTTCTCAAGGTCCATACTCACATCCACGAAATGTTCGAGGTCTATACTCAATTGTAGTGCAAGATAAAGGTCCTAGAAGTGGGTTTATGGTCCTAGAATGAGTGTATGGCCGCACACAAGAGTGTGCGGTCGCACATTTGGGTGTGCTGCCGCACACTTGGAGTGCTGCCGCACAGGGGTGTATGCCGCCGTACACAGGTGTGTGCGGTCGTACACCACTCAAAATGATGCCCAAATTGTCCATTCCAAGGTACAACAAGGCTAGGGGCATGTCTACATCGAATATGGAAGTTAAACTCTCACTTTGGAGGGTGTTTTTGAGGGTGTGCGGCCACCCTAAGTGGGTGTGCGGCCGCACTCACTTCCAAACACGAAGGACATGTCGTTTTTGCACACATAGAGTTTGGATAGAGTGGTCTTTCATGGATTGTAAGCTAGAGGAAGAAGTACTCACGTTCTTGAAGCTTTTGAAGGTTCAAAGTTGGAGAAACTTGAGGGAAATGATGTTGTGTGCTTCCAAGGTGCTAAAGGAATGAAAGGAAGGAGGCTACCCTTTATATAGGGGTAAGGGTGCTGCCCAAAAGAGTGTGTGCTGCCAAGGGAGTGGGTGTGCGGCCGCACACCCATGTGTACGACCGTACACTCCTCCAAGAGGTGTGTATGGCCCGATTTTCTCACTATTCAACACTCTGACTCATTCCTAAACTCAACCTTGGTTAAATACAAGCTTAGGACACTTAAATGAACCCTTAAATAGCACCAGAAATCAACAAAACAAGTTGAATATTGATTGAATTGACTAAGCGTACAAGATTAAAGTTTACAAGTTGTCACATTTATACCTTCTGGATATGTGATATATCAAAACGAATGTATCACGGAGGAGGACATGAATGTATAATCATTTGTCTATTTTAATTACATTTAGAATTTGAAATTCATGCTCAAAAATGGGAAAACCCAAATATTAGAAGTTAGTAAAACTAGTTTTCCAACACTTTGTACATGTGATTCAAGTTAAATACACCAAAAAACTTTGTGATGACCGTTTAAAGAACATCATCAAGGGTGAACATGATATCAAACTTCATAGACACTATTAGTGAAACCTTTGTTACATACTCCATTGCCTTATATCTAGACATATTTAACAAGGCTGATCAAGGTTAACTTTGTGAAAATTTATTTTTTTCGTTAAATTAACAAACTAAAATTGATGTATGCATTTTTCAGTGTGATTTTTGTATTCACCCCGAAATTTCCTATAAGACTATTAAGAAAAATAATCTTGAATAGTTTTTTGACATAACAATTGTGATTTTTTTAGATATATCATGTAACTAAAAATGTTTTTATATCATTGGACCTGCATTCAAAAATACAATTTGACAATCTAAAGTAGGGATCAAAGTGGATCCAAACCCGGCCCCGGAAAACGGAATTGGCGAATTATAAGACCCGATAACCGGACCGTTATACCGGAATCGGTTCCGGGTATCCAGTGTCGAATATAGAAGAAAAAACCATGTGGTTCACTGATAAAAATAAAAGAATCAACAATCATTGTGGCTGGTTGGGTCGTGTACCTTAAAAACTGGATCGACGAGTTCAACTGATTGATTATCAGTCCATTTATCAAGTCGCTTATTGTTTGATAAAAACTATATATTACGTTTTATATGATATAAATATGTATTATGTTTGATTCGATCTCAATCTTCTACTTGGTACACCTTTTTGTTACCGAGCATATATATCAATAAATGTATAACAAAACTTCTATTATTTTAGATTAATTTTCATTAATAAAAACAATATTTACAATACTAATATACGAAAAAAGTTGTTAAAACATAATATATATATATATATATATATATATATATATATATATATATATATATAATATGATAAAGTAAACAATATTTAACCCTATATATTTGACAACACACTATAGAAAAGGACAAAAAACTTTAAGCTTTTACAATTCTACATTGACAATAATTGATAATACACTGACCATATCTGTTCATAGGCACTTTGTAATTACCATAGTTTTTCAGGGTATCACAAATTATAATTACAAGGTAACGAGGGATATTTTTTTCAGGGTATCACAAATTATAATTACAAGGTAAGGAGGGAAGAACAAAATGAAAGATCGAAGTCTTGAAGATGTAAAAGACAATAATGAGTATAAAGCAAAACGTTAGAGACGAGATGAGACCCAACTTGGGTTGTAGTAAACTTGCCATGGCGAGAGGCTGACCAACATTGAGGCGACGAGAGAGGGAGTCTTTGGCAGTGTTCGTGTCAATTGTAAAGCGGTGAACGGAGGCAAGAAAGGCACGATTAGGGCTTTTAAGTTTTCACCTTTAGGTTTTTTTGATCTATTTTTTATGGATTTATAAAAATTAATGATCCAGGAGGAGTTGTGGTGGTGGGCTTCTTTTTATTTATTTATTGATATTCCGATAATGCTAATTAAGATTGGTTAGATTTTTGATCTATTTTTTCTCTATCTAAAATGTCTATTTTCATGACATTTAAAAAAAAAATCAAGGTAGGTCCTGGACCTTTTCCAAGGTAGTTCCTAATTTTATTCCTATATATATTCTAAATAAAATTGAAATTTTAGGTAGGTCATGTAACCTACCTTCGGCATCAGTAGACTCGTTTCTGCGGGTATCGGACCGGGTAAAGTGGGTATAGAACTGGTTTTTTGGAACCGGAAATTCAAAATTGGAACCGAATTCGTGTATTAGACATTGAAAAAACTGGAAACCCAGAAATGGAACCGAAAACCTAAAATTTTGGAATTGAAACCGTTAAATTTGGCAAAATACCATATCGTATTCCTAAACTACCTTTTCAATATCTCTTTTCAATATTTGTGTATATTTTTCTCAAATTCTATCGACGCTCTTTTTTGTTTTCACTTCATCATCGATACACACAAGGGATGTGTGTATGTGTGAGTTTTGTTTGTTCCCATTCCCAAGTCAAACACATAAAAGTCCCTTGGCATAAATCCAATTTAACTTCATTCTTGTTTAGTTTATTAGTTAATAAATAAATAAAATATCAGCTCCCACTTATTATCTAAACATCAAAAATTCTATATCATTTTTCTTTTCTTTTTCTAAATTCAAAAAGTTACATAAAACTATAAAAGTATATAAACTTTATATTTGATTTTGATTTATTAATTGAGAGAAAGCTAAACAAAAAGGAAGTTAAGTTGGATTTATGGGTTAATGGGATTTTTATGCGTTTGACTCTGTCTGACACAGGGGAATAAGAAGAACATACATACATACACATGGGGTTTTTAGTATGTGTATCAGCGAAAAGAAAAAGAGATCATAAGTGGATTTTGAGAAATATATAAAGAGAGATTTCGAGAAACAGAGAAATGGTAGTTTAGTAAAAGACCATTCTAAAAATACAATGCTGTAAACCCGATTCCGTTTTTTTTTTTACGAATCCGGCTCTAAAACCCGGAATATCCGGAACCCGGATTAAACTAATTTTTAAACCAAATATCCGGATCATTTAACTATTTTCCAATTGTACCTGTTCCCGGTTCTGGTCCGATTTTTTTATAACTCTTCTCTAATATAATATAAAGTCTCTATAAAATATGGATGGATAAATATTTTCCTAAACGTCGGGGCTTAAACCCTAAAAACGAGCGGCTCCCCTTGGCAAAAACCCTATTTTCGTTTTACAGAGGGGAAATAAAACCCATTTACACTGACGGACGTAGAGATTATCGTCTCCAATGGCATTGTATCTTCTCTACGAATCTGCGTCTGGATACGGACTGTTTTTGGCCCACGGTATTGATGAAATTGGGCAAAACACAGAGGCTGTTCGTAACTCAGTAGTCGATCTTAATCGATTTGGAAAGGTTGTAAGGATTGCCGCTTTTAATCCTTTTTGAATCAGCCCTTGATGCTCTCAACCAGTGCAATGCCGTCTCTGAAGGTACCTGCATATATGCACCGATATTCGTTATTTGAAATGATTTTGTTCGGTTAACATGTGGAGGCTAATGAAATTTCTATGCGATTCTTCATTTAATTGAAAGCTGCAAGTTTCTCGTGTTTCTTCCATTTTCACAGAGATATAACAACACCTTCATTGAGATTTGAGGGTCACTTCTTTATGTAGTTTTTTCTTTGTTTTTGTTTAGGCCAAATGACAGAAGAACTGAGAAACTTCTTGGAGCTCAGCCTTCCTAAAGTCAAAGAAGGTAAGAAACCAAAGTTCAGCTTAGGAGTAGCCGATCCAAAAATTGGGTCTCAAATACATGAAGAAACCAAGATCCCCTGCCAAAGCAACGAGTTTGTTCTCGAGCTCATTAGAGGCATCCGTTTGCATTTTGATAGATTCATCGACAATCTCAAGGTTTGCTTGTTATCACATCACATAGTGTTGTGTTGTCCAAATTAATCATGTTTTCTTCAAATACCTATGATATGATGCTTTTCTCAAACTTACACAGCCTGGTGACTTGGAGAAAGCACAACTTGGTCTCGGCCATAGCTATAGCAGGGCAAAAGTCAAGTTCAATGTTAACCGTGTTGACAATATGGTTATTCAAGCAATTTTCCTTCTAGATACTCTTGATAAAGATGTCAATTCGTTTTCCATGAGAGTCAGGTTTGCTCACTCCAATCCAATCTTTTTTGTTGTCTAGCCCTTATAAGTTAGAATATTGTTGTAATTGCCATTTGTTTTTATGCAGAGAATGGTACTCATGGCATTTTCCTGAGCTAGTCAAGATAGTGAATGACAACTATTTGTATGCTAAACTTGCAAAATTTATAGAGGACAAATCAGAGTTATCAGAAGATAAATTATCAGGTCTAGTAGATATACTCGGTGATGAAGATAAAGCAAAGGAAGTGGTTGAAGCTGCCAAAGCATCAATGGGTATGAATAGGATTATATAATTATGCAACAAAATTATAAGATTCATTCATGTAATTGATGCTATTTTCAGGGCAGGATTTGTCACCTGTTGACTTGATCAATGTGAAGATGTTTGCTCAGAGGGTAACGGAGCTTGCTGAGTATAGAAAGAAGCTGTATGATTACCTTGTTGCTAAAAATGGGTGATATAGCACCTAATTTGGCTGCATTAATTGGTGAAGTTGTTGGAGCTCGTTTGATATCTCATGCTGGTAGCCTCACAAATCTCGCCAAGTGTCCTTCATCTACCCTTCAAATCCTTGGTGCTGAAAAGGCCCTTTTCAGGTCTTTTTTATTTAACACTTCCTTTATTTACTTTTAAAAAAACTAAGTCTAAAATCTAAATCAAGTTTTGAATGTTTCAGGGCTTTGAAAACTAAAGGGAACACTCCGAAATACGGGCTTATTTTTCATTCATCTTTTATTGGACGTGCATCTGCTAAAAACAAGGGTCGAATGGCTCGATATCTAGCAAACAAGTGTTCTATTGCTTCTCGAATCGATTGTTTTTCAGGTGAGTTTAGGATTCTTTTAGAAGTTTTTTTTTCTTTGATTATATGTTTTTGTGGCTCATGGTTTTGTTTTCTTGATGTTGATAGAGAAAAGTAGTACGTCATTTGGTGATAAACTTCGTGAACAAGTTGAGGAGCGACTTGATTTTTATGATAAGGGTGTTGCTCCTCGTAAAAATATTGATGTCATGAAAGCTGCTATGGAAAATGATTCAAATCAAGGTTAGTGTGAAAATACTTGTTAATGTATTTGATATATATGGATAAAAAATGGGAAAAGGAAATGGTTTGAATAGAAAATTTTTTGGTTAGGGTTTTATGCTATTACAACGAATTTCCATTTTGTTTGATGTATTTTGTTTTCAGATACAGAAATGGAGGTGGAAAATTTTTCATCAAAGAAAAGCAAGAAAAAGAAATCTAAAGATAATGAGGCTAGTGATGATGGTGATAAAGAAAATACGGCTGCAAATGGAGAATCTAAATCTGAAAAGAAGAAAAAGAAGCGATCACTTGAAGAAAGATCAGAGTCCAATGAGAATGGCAAAGAAAATGGGTGAAGAAACTGAAAAGAAGAAAAAGAAAAAGAAGAGCAAAGTCGTTGAGGTGGTTGATGCTCCTACTGCTGTTAGTGAAGGCAAGAAGAAGAAGAAGAAGAAGAAATCATCTGTAGAGTGAAGAAGATGTGTAGATCCGAATTTAGGGTTAAATTGTGTTGTTTCCTAGCCAAGAACAAGCTAGGTGACTTCACATCGAATTTTGTTGCAACTTGGAAACTTATATTTGTGAGATTTTTGGGTTTGTGGTGAATCCTTGGTATGCTATCAACTTTTTGTAAACATATACGATAGACTTGATCTCTTAACAATTTATATGCTTACTAATGAATATTTGGTTGGCTTTGTCAAGTAAACTACAAAAATAATGACTTACCATAACTATTTTGAAGCAAGGTTTTCATCATGTCTTTTTGGTTTTGTTGTTTGATGAATAAGTAACAGTCCATGGAACTTTAAAACCAAATGTTACACTAGTGCAAAACCAAACTACCGTTTATGCATGTAACATAAGATCAGGAATTGAAAAAAGTAGACTTCTAGGTTTTTTTTTTTAAACCATAAACCAGTTATTAAATGGACCTAAATGTCAATAACAATCTTGGCATCAAGAGCAGTGAAGTCTTCAAAGAAAGCCTTCAAATGGTGATAAGAATGGTTGACATCATCAACTGCACACATCTCTCTAATGCTGTGCATCGACAATTGTGGGGCCCCAATGTCAACTGTTCGAATCCCCGTCCCACTTGCTAAAATGGGTCCGATGGTTGACCCGCATGGCATGTCATTTCTAACAACAAAATCCTGTATTACATTCACACATACAACTTTACTTCATTAGCTCACATCAATACAAAATCAAAAGCCCAAAAAACATAACAAGCACTTGTACTCTCACCATTTTATTGATTCAGCCACTCAACTATAATAATAATTATAATAATGAATTACCAACCTGAACAGGAAGGTTTTTGTTGGCTGCTATTTCTCGGAATATAAATGCAGTAACAGCATTAGTTGCATATCGTTGGTTTGCATTGTGTTTAATCACAAGCCCTCCATGCAACTTAGGTTGATGATTCTCTTCATGCTTGTCCTGAACACTCACATAAATAAAAACTTCTTAGGAACCATATCCGTAATTTCCACTATAACACAGGGACGAATTTTGTAATTTACTCTCCAAGAATAATAAATAGTCAATGAAACACTAACCATATAATTTGGATGCAAGGCATGCGCCATGTCTGCAGAAACCAGGAAACTTTTCTGGATCGCCTTTTCTAGCAACTGCACAAAATTTAATGCAAACAATGTAAACCCATTCAGTCATTCTGTCTAGCTGTACAAATTAAGTGCTTAACTCATTAAGTGAAAAAGAAACAATACATACCTGTGAATCTGAGGAAAAGAAGGTTGTAATGCGGGATAGAGCATCAAACATGACTGGAGATCCAGCTCCTTGTGCTGAGCTGGATCCAACCTCTTCATGATCAAATAATGCCACCATTCTTACACCAGATTCATCTTCAATGCTTTTTTCTGATACTGTGGCATCTATTAACGCCTGAAAATCAATCCAATACCCAAATTAGAAACCCATTAAGCCATTCTGTCCAGATTAAGTCAGAAAGAAACATCCCCTATGAGTCTTACCTTCAAAGAGCAGAAAGACATACAGAGATTGTCAAGCCTTCCAGAGAATACAAACTCCTTCATTGCACCAGCAACTATACTTGGTTGAGTGTCACATGCTTGCAACTCAAAATCACAAATCTCATCTGGTTTACACCCTACCTTATCTGCAAGAATCTACCAAAACAAAAACCAACAATCACTACATATATAAAAGATTGATACAAATTAAAATAAATAAATACCTGCAGAAGAAGAGAATGATGCTTCTGGATACTGGAATTGTTTAGACTTTCATTAGGCTTCCCATCAGGGCCATTTTCAGCAACTGTTTTATTGAGTTCAGCCTGACAAAAGCTCCAAAATTTAGTGGTAAAAAGGTAAAAATTTAATGTTATATTTAAATAGAGTAATAAGATATTATTACCTTAACTGCAGTTGCTAACACAGGAGCAAGATGAGTTTGTGCATTCACTTTAAATCCATCATTAACGCCTCGATCCAAGTGAATTGCTAGGGTTGGAATTCGCATTATAGGTTCTTCAATTCTAACAAGTTTGTGTGAGTAAGATGCAGAATCGCCTTTTCCTTCTTTGATAATCATTCTTCCAGCAATAGTTAAGTCACGATCAAACCATGTATGCCATAAGCCACCTCCATAAGTCTGAACACCAACTTCCAAATAGCCACCTTTTGATATCTAGTTAAGATATATCAGATAATATCAGTTCAATCCCCATAGAAGATCCATAACTTTTATAAAATCAAAGAAAGATTACCTTTGAAACAGGCTTCAATTTAAGACAAGGACTGTCAGTATGAGCACCAACTATGTGGAACCCATTTCCAGCAATGTATCTAAAAAACAAGATGAACATTAACAACCATCACAGTGTCAGCATATATGAAAAAAAAATCAACACATACTTCTTTCCAATGGCAAACGCAACAATAGTGGAGTAATTCCTTGTGAAGAAATACTTCTTTCCAGGTTGTAAATTCCAATCCCCTTTTTCAAAAATTTGCTCATATCCCGCAACTTTTAGTCGCCTCTTCGCTTCGTCTACAGATCAGCAGTTCTCAATATAAAAGATCGAATTAGTTTCACTACATCTGAAGCGATTACGATTTACTTCTAAATAGAAAAAATCATCAACAAATAAGGGTTTTTTTGGGGGTTACAATTGGTTATCTTTTCTTTTCCATTTTTTTCTCGTTGATGAAACAAGAAATAGAGAGAGGAAGTTACCGACGGCGTGGAAGGCTGTCGGAGAAGCGTTTAAGAAGTCGATGAGATCGGAGACGACTGAGCTTTCTGCCTTTGCCATTGATTTGATCGCAGGGTCTTCTTGGGAGCCTCGGTTTGGATGAATTGTAACCTTTGCAATTTGCAGAACTGACAAAACACTCGGACCTCAGTTTTCTACTTTTCTTTCACTCGACCGATAAATTTTGGTTTCGATCTCACTTCTCAGGCCGTAAAATGTAAATAAAACTAGGGTGTGTACATAAAATTTATATGTATTATTAAAGGGTTTTTGCTATAAAACTATAAAAGTCACATAATTTAACACCTAGTTTCTAATTTATCCCCAACATTTGTTTTTATGACTCATTTGTCATTAAAAGTTTAGTAACACCTCATTAAATGCTCCTTAGCCGGTTAACAACAGGTAAAACCTCGTTGTTGGTCACCAAAGACACTCGAGTGTCTTTGTCTTCCCGATGAACAAACGAACACGTACTTAGAGCACCTTTTGAACGAGAGCTAAAGGTAAGGGCTTTGAAGCATTTATCTGTAAAAACCCCTTCTCTTATGCAAGAAGATAATCGTTGAAATTCAGGTCTTTGCAATGACATCAACATCACGGAAATCTCGATTATAAGGTTATATATTTTAACTTTCAGTTATAATATCAATATACTTTTAATAGATAAATAGAGTCATAACAGCGTTGTTTTTTTGGGGGGGGGGGGGGGGGGGGGGGGGGGTAGGATTGTAGGTACCACCCATAGTTGACCAAATGCCCAGGTACTAGTCTTGTAGAAAATAAAACTTATGGGGGGTTTTATGTATACATACATATAAAGGTGGAACCGTTGAAGAAAAGTTGTAAATGCTCCACCCAATCATATTCCAGAGTTGGTAGTCCTCCTCCCCCGACCAAAGGCCAAAGGGTGTTGAGTTATTCTGCCACTAGTCGACGGCGACGGTAAGGGTTTACGATTCTCCGTTCATTCTATATCGAACACTCCATGTGCTTTTATTCATCTTCCTTTTCCATTATGTGTATCCGATTTTCACTTGCTGTGGAAATTAGGGCAAGCTATAATTAACTTTATTGCTATTTTACTTCTATTGATACATTCACATACTGTTCTATACGATGCATCGATATTTAATTTTTGAGTTGGATTTAAGTTGTAGTTGTTGGTGTATTCGGCTTATGTTGTGTTACTGTGAAAATCAGTGTAGATGAGTAAGATGTCCTAGCTATGTGCTTTTATTTTGACACAATTTTTTTGTGGGTAATGGCTAGATCGTTGGTCTTGATTATAGGAATGGTAGGGTTTTGTGTTTTCTAGGGTTGCTGGTGATAATATGCTTTAAGATTGACTGATTGTGAGGCTGTTGTCTCTTTTAATCTGGAAAATATTTGTTCTCAGAACTGTTTGAGTTTGCATGTGCCTTTTTGTGCTATAGGGATGGGTGTCATATAAAGCTTAACCTGTAATTAAACATGCCATGAATTGTAAGTTCTCCATGAAATTGTATTAAGAATGATTTTTCACAATTGAAGATGTTAAGATTTAAAAAAGGATTAAAGGAATCTAGATGCACTGAATGATCTGATGTATGAAACCTTGAAACTAATACCTGCATTATTTTCTTTCTTGAAGACTTGAACTAGTTATATGTGATCACATATGTAGAAGATTCATCCCTGTAGTGTGACTCGTAGTAAGAATTGTATATCAAGAGTCCAACATGATACCATTTTCTCTTTTAACAATTCTGTTTGCATTTTTAGTCATGGTGATAGCAATCATAGAATGAATTCAGAAAGTACAATTGTGTTTGCACATATGTTTTGTTTTTTACCATTATACCCTTTTATGCGTCCTCTGCTTTTTGGGTCTCATTTTTACATCTCCTACGTGATATAAGTTCCCTTTTCATGCTGCTATTAATGTTTGTTTCTCATATCTACTTTTATCACACGGGGTAACACTTGTTATAATTTATTTTAAATCAACCATTGCAGATATTTTTTTTAACCAACAAGATACCATATGGCTGCATTTCGAGCATTCTTAAACAGTCCTGTTGGGCCCAAAACTACTCATTTCTGGGGTCCTGTAGCCAACTGGGGTTTTGTTGCTGCGGTATGCTTTTTTACGTGACATCAGTCACAGTCACAGTCAGTGTCAGTGTCATACAAAAGCTATTTGTCTTGTCTTTAAGTTGATATACTACTACTAGTATAATTTTATAAAAAGAATATTGTGATTGGTAATGTTGCAGGGGTTGGTGGACATGCAGAAACCTCCAGAGATGATATCTGGCAACATGACTGCAGGTTGGTTGGTTGCTCTTTCATTTAAATTTAATTAGATGTGGTTATGAAGGTTAAGATGGTAATTTCATCCTCAACTTTTTTTTTTTTTTTTTTTTTTGGTGCAGCGATGTGTGTGTACTCTGCATTATTTATGAGGTTTGCATGGATGGTGCAGCCTCGTAACTATCTGCTTCTAGCATGTCATGCCTCAAATGAATCGGTTCAATTGTATCAATTTTCACGTTGGGCAAAGAGTCAAGGGTATGATACTTTCCATGCAACACCTTTTTCTTTTCTTATGTTATATATATATATATATATATATATATATATATATATATATATATATATATGAGAAAATTAGGGCACATCTTTTTTATATGCAGCTTTTGCTTACAACTATTATTTCTTGTTATGTGTTGAATTTTGAAGGTATTTGCAAAAGAAGGAAGACGACGCTTCATCAACTTGAGACTCAGCTCTTATCTTCATCCTTGGGACTTTATCTTTGTGTGATAATTTTGGATTTAATACACATAGCTTGTTTCTTTGAAGCTTTCATGTAATTGTTTAAATCAAAACTAAGCTTTCTTCACATCTGAATCCTTGTTCTTGTTCTTGATCCCCATCAATGGTGATATTGATGAAGATTTGATCATTGTTGTTACTGCTTTTTGTTTTAGACCTTTATTTTGTTCTTGGGTGTTTGATTGAATAAAAAGCAATATTTTCTTGATTTATTATCGTTTTTGAAACCCTCCTAACAGAAGGGTTGTATTTTGACAAATTATTAAAGCTACAGTTATGGAAAATCCACTGAATTGCAACACTGATCGATAATATTTACTCTAAGTGGTAGATTTCTAAAAGTACAATGTTTAAACATGATGAAAATTAAAATAAGATGTTATAAGAAAATTGGATTCTATTGAAATCATAGTTTAGAATTTGTTTAGTTTAGCCACCAGAAAAACGTTTTTTTATGAAATAACCATTAGAACTTTGAATTAAGAAAAAAACAACTTTAACTAAAATTATATTTTTTGGATTATAATAATCTGTCATTTTTTTGAACAAAAAAAAAACTCATATTAAACTGGATTTTTTTTGGGCTAATGACATAAAAACCCTCAAATTTGCACAAAATTGACGGATTTGCCCAAAGTTCAAATTTAGTTCTGTTTTTGCCTTAAACTTGCATTTAATGTGTCGTTTTTGCCAAGTAGCCGGTTTCCCTTTAATCAACCGGTTACCACTTGCTTAAGTGGAAGGCTCATTAACGACGTTTGGCAAAAAAAAACTCCAATTCCGTTACATACGTTAAACTGTCGCATCTCATCTCCCTCTATAACCCGATCACTCTTCACCTTTTCCCACAGAGAAAAAAAAAGGGTTTTCTTGGAGATGATTAGGGTAAAAGTTTCTTCGAAAGGTAAGGTTTTTACAGGTTGACTGAAATTACGTTTACATTCAACATTTCTTGAAATGTGTTCCTAAAGTTAGTGTGTTGATGCATGAGGGTGTAATGTCTTCATCAGACGAAGGGTACGCTGACCCCTTTGCTGGCATACATGAGCCATTTGCTGGCTTGAGTGAAATGGATTTTGAACTTCACGACATTTACATGGACCACGAACCAGAGGAAAAATTTGTGTCCTCACTCGATAAATGTAAGGATATCTTCCTAAATGTTCTATTAAGTGATGAAAACCTACGAAATTCTAGTATGGCATATGAAGTCAGAGCACAAGTGTACCATGCTACTGATTGGCAGAGTGATGAAGATGAACAGGAGGTATTGAAAAACAACTATAGAATTCATGACCCAACCATCAAGTGGGACAAGATGGTACCAAAGCTTGGTGACATCTTTGAATCCTCTGCCCAACTGAAGTTTTGTGTCACCAATTATGCAGTGTCACATGGCTATAGAATATACTTTGAAAAATGTGATAGTAAAAGAATTGTAGCTAGATGTGGCAATAGGAAGGAAGAGAATAAATGCATTTTCAGAATTTATGCTGCATGGATGTACAAAGAAAGATCTTTTTAGATAAAAGTTATAAATGGTGACCATAAATGTTGTAGGCAGTTTAAGTTTGGATCCATTGTGTCCCCTGAATGGATTGGAAGACATTATGTGACTGAAATTGCAAATAAGCCAAAGATGAAACTTCAGGAAATGATTGATGACATCAGACAAAGGTATAGGTGTGTGGTATCTATAGGACAAGTTAGAAGGGCAAGGAAATGGGCCAAAAATTTAATAGAAGGTAAACTCACTGAGCATTATGCAAGGATATGGGATTATGCCCATGAATTGTTAAGGTCAAACCCGGGGTCCACATGTCAAGTTGGTGTAACAACCAATCCAGATGGAAAGAATTTTTTTCACAGGTTTTACATTTGTTTCAAAGCACTAAGTGATAGCTGGAAAAGAGGGTGTAGGAGAGTAATTGGGCTTGATGGGTGCTTTCTAAAGGGGCAGGTGAAGGGTGAACTGCTAACAGCCATTGGTAGAGATGCCAACAACCAGATTTATCCAATTGCGTGGGCTGTTGTTGATGTGGAAAATAAGTCCAACTGGACTTGGTTCCTTGAGCTACTCAGTGGTGATCTAGACCTTATTGATGGAAGGGGCTTGGTAGTTATATCAGATCAACATAAAGTAAGTTTCTTTATAACATATTAATCCTTTTCAAATTACTTATAAATACTTACATGTATGCTGGTTTTTGTATAGGGTTTGTTGCAATCTGTTAAAGATATATTGCCACATGTGGAGCACAGGCAATGTGCCCGACACATATATGCAAATTTTAGAAAAGCTTACACTGGGGTGGAGTTGAAGAAGCTGTTTTGGGCTGCAGCTATGAGCTGTGTGGAAGGTGATTTCAAGAGACATATGGACACAATTAAAAAGCTCAATCTTGGTGCATATGAGCATCTCATGTCCAAAGAACCCCAAACATGGTGTAGAGCTTACATGAGTACAGGGTATGCATGTGAGGCAGTGGAGAATGGTATATCAGAGTGCTTCAACTCCATCATTGTGGATGCTAGGAAAAAACCATTGATCACAATGCTTGAAGAAATAAGGATATACATCATGGATAGGTTTGCTCACATGATTGAGGAAAGCACTAAATGGAATACCCGTATATGTCCAGCAGTGTTAAAGAAGATGAAGCTTTTTGGGAAGAACATGAGGTAACACTTTAACATGTAACTTTTGTTTTAATTTCATTAGGTAAAACTTTAACATGTAACTTTTTTTTTTAATTTCATTAGGTAAAACTTTAACATGTAATTTGTGGATGTAGGTTTTGGTTAGTAATTCATAGTCAACAACATGTGTTTGAAGCAAGGAGAGGATGTGATAGCTACATGGTGGATTTAGATGGAATGCATTGTACCTGCAGGTTATGGGATTTGGCTGGGATCCCATGTGTTCATGCCATTGCAACCATCAAATATATCCAACAAACACCTGATGAGTACATTGATCAAATGTTTTCCAAGGAACAATTCCTTAAGTGTTACTCTGCTAACATTAGTCCAGTAAATGGTTCAAATCTATGGCCTCAAACTGAATTCATAAAGCCCTTGCCACCAGTGTCAAGGAGAATGCCTGGTAGGCCAAAGGTCAATAGAAAGAGACATGTAAGTGAAAATGATGGAAGAGTACACACCCCAAGAACTGTACGGTGTGGTAAGTGCTTTGAGTATGGCCATAACCAGAAGGGATGCAAGAATGCAACCAGGGAACCTGTCCCTATGCCACCAAAGAAGAAAGGAAGGCCAAGGAAGGAGCAATGTGAACCCAGTCAAGCATCATGTGATAGGTCTGAGAGGCAGGAACCTGTCCCTATGCCACCAAAGAAGAAAGGAAGGCCAAGGAAGGAACAATTTGAACCCAGTCAAGCATCATGTGATAGGTCTGAGAGGCAGGAAGCAGTTCCTATGCTACCAAAGAAGAGAGGAAGGCCAATGAAAAAGGTCCAATCTGATCCAAATCAAGCATCAGGTTCTACATTTGTTAGAAGCAAAAAGAAGTTGGGGATAAAAATAGGTGGTGGCATTGTTGAAGATAGAGTTCTACTTGATGAGCATGATGGTTTAGATGGTCATGTTGAAGGTAGGGGATGTGAGGAACAAATGAAAGATTTGTTTGACAAAGAAGATATTGATGATGACAGTTTGGTTGATATGATGTGCACTTTTGAAGCTTCTCTTAGCCAACCAAAGTATAATTATCAGAAAGGTTATGGATTCCAAGATGCAATGGATGCTATTATTCAAAGTATTCATCATGCTAATGATGACAAAGGTGTTGAGGATGTTGAACCTGACTTGACAAAAACACTTGATGAGGTTGAAGATGCAATGGATGCTATTCTTAAAGGTACTGATGAAAAAAGTCAATCTAAGAATAAGGGTAATCCTGAACCTGAATTCACTGAAGGAAATGCAAGTGATGTTCTCCCAGAGATGGTGATGCTAGATCTAGAAAGTGTAGCAGGCCTACTTGGGGCAGGATATAGCATGGCTGAAATAGAGAGCATGAGAGGGGTTCAAGTTGAATTGGATGATATGCCACCAGTTGAGATGGTTAGTTTGACTTCATCATTTTATAATTGCTAACATCAGTAACAAACATGTTTATATCTTTTATTAATAAGTATTTTTCAAATTTTTATTAATAGGATGTGAATGAAGTTGAGGATATTCCATATGTTGATGGTGTGATGGAAGGAAATGAGGATGAGGGTGATGCTGATGATGCTGGTGAAGTAGCAGGTGAGGGTGAGGGTGAGGGTGATGGTGATGGTGCTGGTGAGGGTGATGGTGCTGGTGAGGGTGATAGAGAGGGTGATGGTGGTGGTGAGGATGATGGAGAGGGTGATGGTGATATTGAGGATGAAGGTGATGGTGCTGGTGAGGATGATGCAGCAGATATGGAGGGAAATGATGCTGATGATGAAGGGCATGTACCACCTAGAAGGACAAGAAAGCCCTCAGAAAGGATCATCCTGCAGAAGCTGAAGAAACCTTGTTTTGACAAATATGGAAGGGGTTCCACATCTAGCTATCCAGTAGATTTGGAGTAGTTACCTAGGTATATGGGGGAAAAAGTGGGGATGGTATCATTGGGCAATTGTATAGGTAGCCCTTTTTGGTTATTTTTTGATATACACACACTACTTGCAGCATACATCCATTTGTTTATGGCTTGCCTTTTTTGGATATTTTTTAGGCTTTTGGGTACATGTTTTGGTATACAAAATGGATGGCTGCTACATGCTAGTAAAACTTATGTAATGGATGCTTTATATTAAGGTTTATAATGGATGCCCCCTATTATGGTAACCATGATGTTTTTATTTTATTTTCTAGTAAATGTTAAGCATTAACAATGTACTTTCATTAGTGTAATTCCTTTTATGCAAGTTAGTGCAATTCCATTCATGCAAAGTTTACTTTCATTGTGAATGTAACCAATATACTTTCATTGTACTTCCATTCATTAGCCCTTCCTTTTATGCAATGTACTTCCATTCATGCAACATATACATGAGATAGCAATTAACTACCATTAATAACATTACCATTAATACCCTTAATACATTACAAACATGTAACATTCAGCCGTTCAAAAAAAACATTACAAAGATGTAACAATTCTTCATTACCCTTAATATATTACTAATACAGGAAAAACCAACAAAACTACACCTTAATAACGACTATTGCTAGCATCAACGATATAACCACTAACAACCCTATGATCACTTCTAACAATGGCTTGATCTCCTCTGTATGACACATCTCCATATTTTGACCTAGTTCTTCATCCGCCCATTTGAAAAAACCACAGTTACCTCCTTCCACCTACAACAAAAAAAATAGGGTTCTATTACATACGTTCCTCTTTGGGAAGTTAGAGCAGCCCTAAAATTTTAGGGAGAAATTAGTACAAAAATAAAGAGATTTTTACCTGATAATTAGGGCAGCCCCAAAATTTTCGTCCTGGGTTATCAGGTGTTCGTGAGACTGATACACCACAAACATCACCATAGTCGCATCTTATTACCTTCTTTTTCCTCATTCTTGTACCACCGTTGAAGCTTGATCTTGAAGACGAAGTTGTCATTTTTCCGTTGTAACTCTGTGACTAACTGTGGGGGTCGAAGGGATCAATTGCACACGAGGATGTCTGTGAATGAGTTTTTAAATGATAAATGCCACGTATCTTCCACCTAAGCAAGTGGTAACCGGTTGATTAAAGGGAAACCGGCTACTTGGCAAAAACGACACATTAAATGCAAGTTTAAGGCAAAAACGGACCTAAATTTGAACTTTGGGCAAATCCGTCAATTTTGTGCAAATTTGAGGGTTTTTATGCCATTAGCCCTTTTTTTTCAATGGTTAAACCAAAGAAAATTAAACTACATTGCATTTTATGGATTTTGGCCAAAAACATAATATATTTGTGTTTATGAGGAGAAATTATTAATTGTTTCAAAATATATGTATAGCTCCTTGTATTTCAATGAGAAAATGACTCAGGATGATAACCAACTGTTGATTTTATTCATGTGGTAACTTTTTTTTTTGTACGCAAAATACCATCTAACTTGTTGTTTGTTTTCACCATAACCATTTTGACAACACATGTGATAGCCGGTCAAAAGGGTTATGGTGAACACAAACAACAAGTTAGATGATATATTGCGTACAAATTAAAGTTATCAAATATGAACAAAATCAACAGTTGGTTACCCTCCTGAGTTATTTTCCTTAATTAATATTACATGGCTAATGATCTAAAATAAGTGAGGATATTGGTGCTTAGTTATTGCCTATAATACCTATGATGATGCTTATGATGCCTTTGGGGAGCTATTTTATGTGTTTAAACTATTGTTTTTTCTTTGTTTGTTTGTTTGGATTTATTTAAAGTTTTTGTAATTGCATGATTGATGGGACAACTAACTCTTTACTTGGACTTGATTTGCTTTGAACTTAGTTTCGAATGAGTAAAAAGCTTCTCTATCTCCATGTATTGCCTTAGCAACTTTCACCCACAAGACACTTGGTTCATTTAAGAACATGCAACACCATTTTAAAAGTAACACCCTATTAAAAGAGAACAAATCTTCCGGCTCCCAAGTCTAAAACCCCAAGTTCCGCTTCCTCTTTAGATATTCATATATTTCTCCATTTTACCCAATAAATGTAACATCCCAAAAATTAGAGTAAAAATTTTCATTTTTTAAAAACAACCCAAATATCATAATTGTTTACAAAACATTGTTCCAAAAGTAAAAATCCAATAATATAAAATCTGAAGGATGTGCATGATCACGCCTTTGCTTTCCCTCGATCATCTGAAGTACCTGAAACAATCACCTGAAACTGTAAGCCAAAGCTTAGTGAGTTCCCCAAAGTACCACACATATAGCCATACAAATAACAACATGCATGCATGAGCCTTCAGCATGACTGGACCGCCTCGCAGACCTACAGACTATGTGGACCGCTCTCAGAGCCTTCAGCATGACTGGACCGCCACACCAGGCCTTCAGCCTATCTGAACCGCTCTCCGGGCCTTCGGCCTGACTAGACCGCCTCACATGCCTTCAGTTTATCCGGACCGCCCTGGGTATCTTGGCCTTCAGCACCAGCTGGTCCGCCTCAATCCAACAAACCATAACATGTCGACATATACAATAACAATCAATAATCAACAAACACAGGTATCCCTACAGATCTACCAGTCTAACACATATCCATCAACACAGGCAGTCCTACAGATCTACCAGTCTAATCACATAACTAGTGCACACATATCTCAGCATAACAGCATTCAACAGACCAGGATATCTAACCCAATGGACCGACCTTGGTGCCTTCGACCTATAAGTACAACGAGGAAAACTCACCTCTTAGTCCGGAAAGATAGTTGAACAGGATACTACTCCAAATATCAGCTCTACCAGTCACCTATACATCAGATAGTGACAAATCTCAATTACAACTCTAAATACCCAAAATACCCTTAGGTCACACTTGGTCAAAGTCAAAAGTCAAAGAAATCAATTCGATTCGACTCAGCTAAGTATGCCCAACGTACTCGGCCAAAAGTCATTTTCCCATTAAGTGCTTATTTTATTAAGTTCTTTCGTCCAAATGCAGATCTAGCCCCCAAATATCATTTCCAACCATAAAGTTTCCAACTTTATGAGTTTGCATGCTTAGAAAATGCCCAACACCAAGACCTAACTTGTCTTAAGCTCTTAAGCTCTCAAGCATTTGCATGGAAAGGAATAAGGGACCAAGGTTACACTTTTATGACTCTAGACACTACCAAACGTCCAAAAGGACAACACATTTGGTCTAGAGCATGCCATACTCAAGAACACCATAACTTGGGGACAAAAAGCATATAATAGCATAACATCATACAAGCTAGATCTATCAAAATAAGCATTAAGGCATGAATTTTATACCTTATGGAAATGAAGAAGGGTGTAAAACTTCCAGATCCAAGGTTACTTCTAGCTTCCAAGATGTTCTCATTTCCTTCTCCTTCCTCTTAGAACACCAAAACACACACAAATGGCTCAAGGATGCTCACAAAATGGATTAGGGTTTTCTAGGGTCGAACATGGAGGTGGAGGCTGATGAATGAAGGGATCCTTGAGAGTTACAGATGTATAAATAGTGCACAAACCCTAAATATTAGGGTTTTTTGTCCAAGCTACATACGCCCAACGTACACTTGGGTACGCCCAACATACGCAAGCAAATCCCAAAAATTACAAAAATGTCATGCGGGACCAAATTTGCAAACAATAATGTAACATCTTGATATTGAGGTATTTCATTTTTAACCATGGGCATGAGAATTAATTGCATTTTATCCCTTGATATGAGAATTGTGGCAAATTGGACCAAAATGGCATAATTGTAATTTTTGGGCCGTCCCCACGTATGCTGGGCGTAATCCCAGGTAAGTTGGACGTACGTGATGAAATCCCAAACCCTAATATTTAGGGTTTGGACACTATTTAAGTAACCTTAAGTCCCAAGGCCTATTTCTTTCATTAGCCTCCAACCCCAACTTCGACCCTTGCAAACCCTAATTCGTTTTTGAGCATTCTTGAGCCATTTATGGGTGTTTTGGTGTTCATAGAGGAAGAAGAAGGAAGAGAGAACAACTTAGAAGTTTGGAAAAACCGTGGATCTGGAAGCTTTGAACCCTCCTACATATCTGGAAGGTATAAAGCTCATACCTTGATGCTTTAGTTAGATCTAGCTTATATGATGTTATTATGTGCTTTTGTCCCCAATCAATGTTGTTCTTAAGTATGACATGCTCTAGATCCATACAAGCTATCCTTTTAGACGTTTTGGAGTGTCTAAGGTAATAAAAATGTAATCTTGATTGTTAGTTCCCTTCCATACATGAGTTAGAGTGTCTTAATGAGTTAAGAAGTTAGGGTTTTTATTATTGGGCACTTATTAGCCATGCAAGGCCATAAAGTTGGAAACTTTATGGTTAAGGATGTTAGTTTAGGGTTGGATTTGGAATTTGGACAAAAGAGATTAAGGAATAAGCTCTTAATAGAAGTACCTGAAGCAATAAACTAAAACTGTAAGCCAAAGCTTAGTGAGTTCCCCCCCCCCCTCTAAAGTACCAACACACTACAAAACAAACAAAGCATTCAAATATGAGCCTCCAGCCTGACTGGACCGCCTCGCAGGGCCTACAACCTATCTAGACCGCTTTACGGGCCGCCGGCCTGACTGGACCGCCTCGTAGGGCCTACAGCCTATCCGGATGTCCCCGGGTGTCTTGGCCTTCAACACAAAGTAGGGTCGCCTCAACCCAAACATAATATGTCGACATATCTAACAGATAAACATAAACACGAAGCCAAAAAATACAGATAATTATACAGATCTACTAACCAACCATATACTAGCATATCACTATCCTAACCAGGATAAGTAATCTAGTGGGCCAACATTGGTACCTTTGACCCACAAGTACAGTGAGGAAAACTCACCTCTCAGTCTGAAAAAGGTATCTGACAAAACACAGCTCCGAATGATAACTCAGCTGGTCACCTAAACACCAAATAATGACCAATATCAGATACCACTCAAATGACCTAAA